TATTCTGTATCCTAGGCTAGGCATGGTATCGCCGCACTGAAGCGGTCTATTGATTTCAATCGTTGACGGTTGCTTCTGTCATGAACTCATATTCGCCCTTTTGCTCTTTGCCGCGATGAACTAGAGTTCACTAGAAGAGGTATGACGATGGGAAGTGTCTTAAATCATCGATTTTGCTATTACTTGAACTTGACTGCGCTACCCTATGGTAACCACCCACAAGCGAGAGGGTAGCTTTCGACCTCTGTTGAACTGAGCATCGGTTCACAGGATTTGTGTGGTTTAGTGAAAGAATTTCTATAAATGCGGGCGCGGTAGCGTTTATATCGTCGAGGAATCTGAAGGAGCGGAACTTGGGTGCTGGTTTTATGCTCGGTAGTTTACACCTTGAATATCTGCTCTTCTTTATCTGGATCACATCTCTGTCCCTCGACCCTTGAAGTGGATGTGTCTATGTGTTACACTTTCCTGCTTGGACTTTTGTGAGTTCTCCGTTTTGCGCATTGCTCGGTGATCGCTGATGTTTAGCGCATCGGTCTAGAAATTGGCTCCATCGTAGGAGGCATTTCATTGGCTCATCTTCGTTGAGCCTCCGGTTGGCTCCCCATTCACAGCGTATCTTTCTTTAGATGGGAAGAAGGAGAGTGGTATATTGGACCACCCTGTCCTCTTTAGTGGTTCGGATGAAGCTATTCTTGAGGCAAAGCCAAAATTAGGGGAGTGGATCTCACAGTAATGGAGTCTACCTCTACTGTTAATGCATCTGAGCGTCCTTTCAGGCGAATGTAATACATTCGCCTGAATATCCTGACTGAATTACATACCGAATTATCCTCGATTCAATGTATCGAGGATAATTCAGTATCAAGTCCCAGCTATAGGCCAAGCGTCGTGGCAGCTACTACACTGTAGCAACTACAGCCACAGTTGCTGTGAGAAAGGTCACCGCTCACGGAAACCATCGCCACATCTTCCATCATTACACACTGAGGGTTGGGTTCAGGAAGGGTTACCCTCATTACTATTGGGTATAATTCGTTGCCCAAGGTCCTTCTCAAAAGAGGGGGGTAAGGGTCACATGAGGTCTCTGAAGGATGTCGTATCTCGATTTCTTCAGTTAAATTTCTTAGATTAATCTTCATGTTACAAGATGAGTTGGACTTCGTTGACCCAACCACTTTCATGTTGGGCGACAAGTGGTCCAATTTCAGTCTCCCCTCGTCGAAGACATTTGCTGTTTTGACCCTCCTTGGTTTCATTATTTCTTGCAGCCTCTGTACCTTCCACTTTCTTACACGGAAGGAACGTGCGATGCATAAAGGAACATCGGAGGGCTTTGACCCGCTATCTGATGCTGAGAAGGGGTCGTCTCCCGATGGGGCGAATTTGAAGCCGAGATATCCAGCGGTGGACTATTTCAGAGGAATTACCATACTATTCGTCGTTACATTCCACTTGATCCATGTACTCGCTGATTTTGAGCTCATTCCTAACTTGCCCGTTATGGCTGGTTATAATCTACCGATCACAAACTACTTGTATTTTTTGGCTTTCTACAGCGAATCATTTTTCTGGGGAAATCTCAGCCGCCTCGTCCATCCGTGTATCCAATACTTACTGTAAGAATGTCAGCTGTAGTGGAACGTTGTTTTTTCGACAAGTCAACTTCAGATTCCCCGTCGTCACTCTATCATGCGTTTACATGCTATGTTGGGAATCAGAGAGATCCGGTGTGTGCACGATAATGCTCTGCGTCGGACTATCCCTGGCGATAGTCCACGAGGATCGAATAAAATGGAGAAACCTCATCATTAGAACACTCAAGCTGGGAGTAGCAGCAGGGATTATAAGCGCCCTAACGTAATCACGCTTACGGGCATCATTTGGGCGTTCTTGTCATTACTCGTGATAGGTATATCTTCATTCCCACATCTCCCATATACTTCGGTGCCATCCACTGCATAACGCTCAATACTCTTCTCACAATGATCTTCATCAGAGTAAGTTGAGCCTCCCCCTAAGATGATACTGCCTCTTCTGCTCGCCGGATCTTCCATCATATTCCCATCACCATCGTATCCTCTTCTTCGTCCTTTACTCAGGTCCCCCGTATTGCTTTCGTCGGTTTCATCTCCATCCAGCTTTTCACGATGATGGGCGGCTTGTTCCCCCTCGAGATCCCCATGGACCGTCCCACAGTTGATGTTATCCCATGGTACGCCAATCAATGTCTGTCTTTTGCCTATTAGTCTACAGTTTAACAATAGGAACCTCTCCAAAAATCTCTCTGAAGAAGAGCTCCGTGAGGTTCAAAAACTTCTTGTTAGGAGGGGTTCAGGAACCTTTTGAACATTGAGGTGTCTCCTTGTGATCCTCGAAACTTACGAGTCGAAAGCTCATGTGGAGTGACGTACCCGGGGGCTTATTTCAAAAGTCTCCGTGAGGCGTCACTCCTCGAGGTATGAGAACCTCTTATAATCACTCATAACTCATGAGTTTTTCGAGAAGCACAGCCGATCGCAGGCAGAAGTTGAACTTCTGAAGTTCTCCCTTCTTCAATCTAGATTTATACCCGACAAGTCGAGCGGGGGCGGGGCAAGACCGTCGCGATGGCTAAACTCCGTTATGAGAACGGAAAGTCCTCCATAACCTTCCCCTCGAGGAATTTGGCTTCTTGAGCTAAGCTCAATGAGCTTCTTTACGATTCGACTTTCGAATCATTTTAATTTCGAATTCATGGCCTCCGCGGCGAGACTGATTGACACGCTTTCAATCCATAATTGCGATTGGTCACACTGAATGGCTGGTCGGTTCATCGCGTCGCGGACGGACTCACTCTTTTCGAGTCTTCAACAGCTGTCAAGTCCTACGAGAGGTCGCACAGTGGAACTCCCACTTTACCACACGAACTCATGTGTTCATCTTCCTACTAATGGTGAATCTTCGCCTAGTCGACTTCGACAACTTGGGAACAGAGTATGAAATGTTTGGGAAAGAAACCTGTCGGAGCCCGCGTCAATCTGTCCCCGAGTCTCGGGGCGCCAGCCTCGGGGCCCGAGGGGGTTCTGTTCCTTCATGGAAATTAGATTCTCGCAAAAGGCTGTGGCCTCTTTGGAGCTTGTAACACATTTTAGCGTGTAAAAACGGAGCTCTTCCGAAAAGAATCCCAGAATACTCCGAGAAGGATTCTCAAACCTCAAAAAGTTGATGGTTTCAAGAGACGGTTTGGGTGAGATTTGGTGGTCCCATGCATGAAGATCTCAAAAATGTTTCATAAGGGATTTTTAAAATAGGCTCCCGAGAGAGGCTTCTTCTTCGTAGCACCCGACGAAGGTTGAGGAGAAGCTCGCTGTCGTTGTAGGTTCCACAACCTTGGATATTGCTTACTCGGTGTCTGGCTCCATAGCGTCGGTGCTCATAAGATTTCGGCGATCGAGTTGATACCGGGCAGACCAATGCACTTCGAGGACACAGTCTTCACGTTTTTCGGACGACATGTAAGATACACTTGCTGTTGCTGCCCCCTGGATACCTAGGTACTCGAGTCACAACATACGTCCTTTTTTTCTCAGTCCTTGACGGTGTACCTGGGACACATGTTACCCGGTTTGTTCATACTCGGACTTTTTGTCTACTCGAAATGGTGGTAACTTTTCGGCTGGTCTTGGCTGAGCGTTTGCAGCGAAGGCAGATGAAAGTTTCATCTGCCTTCGATGGTTTCATCATGAAACCATCGACAGAGCCGACAGGAGAACTTCACCATACATAAACCATTACTTTCCCAAGTCAGATCGCTGGAGTGGAGATACGTGATGCCCTCTACGACAGAGGCACTGCCAAGCCTTGGTCAACAACGGTCGAGTCATCATATGGAGTATTGTTATCCGTCGAACTATAAGACTGGCCATTTCCACTGTTAAGCAGTGGCTGCTTTGCTCGATGCTTACACGTGCGGTTTCGAGAGAAGATTTGAACATGTTCACTGCTGCTGTATACACTCCACCAGCTTCCTCTCTGAGGGACTCTCACTATTGTACTGTATTTGTCTCGTTATTTTACTCTACCCTAGTGGAACCACCCACAATCTAAAAGCTACTTTTCAAACTGAGTATAGGTTCACAGGATCTGTGTCATTGAGTAATCCAACTTGATATACTGCGGGGGTGGTACCGTTCATTTCGTCGAGACAGTTCGTTTTCAAGATGAGCGCCACCGGTAACAGTCCTGAAGGGCCCGTCTCAGATCTCAAAGTCTTATTAATCGCGAGCTGCACCATGTTTGCAAGCCTGAGTCTGGTGCATTGGTTGTCCATAGCCGAGCGAGCGCAGTACAAACGTGTGTGGTTTGAATATGAAAAGGTGGGCTCATCGAGCTAGATCTGTCTGTAGTGAGATTAGTGTTCTTCTTTCGGCAGTCGACGGTGTATTGAATTCGCGTTCAGATCTCTGAATCGGACGATAAAGCCATGGAAATGGGCGCTATTGGAGGAGACGAGTCGAAGATACAGCATGGCCCCAAGCCACGTGCTCCGTTACTGGACTTTTTGCGTGGTCTCTGTCTGGCATTCATCGTCTCTTTTCACTTCATGTGGGACCTCCAAGAGTTCGACATGTTACCTCATCCTCCCCCGGCCCACAAGGTCGATGGACTCCCAATAAAGAATTATATACTCTTCATTGTCTACTTTGTCATCTCCATCACCTCTTGTCTCACTGCCGCCCTTTACACTCCCTATTTGGGTTATGCATTGTAAGCTTGTGACACTATCCATGACTGCCTGATAAGAGTCCTACTCGATCAGGTATGCTCCGATAGTGACGTATTGCATCTATAGCATGTGGTGGGAGTCCCAAATTTCGGGTGTTTGCTTGATAATGACGTGCTTGGGAATGTCTCAAGCATTGGTCCATAGGAATGGTACCATCTGGCGAGAAGTCGTCATCAGAGCTGCCAAATTGAGCCTCCTCGCAGCTCTCATTTCTGCTTTATCGTAATAGTTACGTGCTAGACAGTCTAGCTTAGATTACACACAACACTTTTATAGTTTCACTTGGATCGATTTTACAGGTTATGGTTCGATCCAGAGCAGTGGATTTACTTCGGTGCCGTACACTGCATCTGTTTCAACAGTTTACTGACGGTCCCATTCGTCAGAGTGAGTCTTTCACCCGCCAAGTTGAATTATTCAACAGTCTTCACGTCAGAGGCCGAAGACGGCTCTTGCTGGATTCTTATTCATACAGACGTACACCATGGCCTTTGGTGCTTGCCCGATTGAGGTCCCGCTTGAGTTACCCACTCTAGATGTCATGCCTTGGTGAGATGGTACCCCGTCTTCCCGACGGGTCATGCTTTATCTACGGGGAATCCCCGTAGAATCTACGGCGTAGATGAAGCAACCCGTCCGATTCGAGCTTTCCTCTGGATGTGCCGAGCACTTCTCTGCAGGTTCCACAACTTTGGCTATTGCCTATTGGGCGTGTGGCTGTATAGCAAGGGTGTTCATAAGCTGAGTTCGTGCAGTATCATACCAAATACTCGTGTATATTTTGAAGACACCGTTATGACTACATTCGGTCGTCATGTGAGTCTTCTGTTCGACCAGATGAGACCTTAACCTACACCATCGTTCCTTTCAGTCCCTTTTAATATACTTGGCCCATCAAGGTGTATTATTCCCACTCGTGTATGGGGTCTCTCTGCTCAGTTGATCTCGCATTCTCTTCACTCAGCGGCTATACGGCATACCTGGAAGTATCTGATTGGTTGGTGTTGTCAGTGCGGGTCGGGCTTCCGGCCCGGAAGTTCCGGG